TACATCCACAACGATACGGGTAAACATGAATTACTCAACATACTCCTAACCATGTCCATTAAGGTTCGATTACGCCTTTCGAGATACACCATTTTGCTGCGGTGTACCTGGCATTGTGTATTGAGCACAAATACCACGCTTCTCAAGGAACTTAGCAAACGGACCAGGGTGTTGTCCACTTTCATCATATCTTCCATAATACTCACCACCTCTATCCGACCGACAATTTTCACCTTCTACGTCTAATTGCCTCTCCACTTCGTTTATATAACTTTCTAAGGCATTTACTTGCTTGAGATTTCTCATATAGTAAATAGACATATCCATAACGCGAGAAATCGTCAATGAAAGTGATGAAATACTTCTCTTTATTAAAAGAATTTACGTCAAATGGACCCCATATATCGGTGTGTATGATTTCAAGAAGTTGAGTGCTTCTTGTGGCTCCTTTCTTTGTGTGTTTTGTTTGTTTACCTTTAATACAATCCACACATACATTCGAATCGATAAAATCTAAATCCGGAAGGATTTCATTCTTTACTAATCTTTTCATTCTTTCTTTGGAAATATGTCCCAAACGCTTATGCCACAAATAAGCAGATCTTTCATCCACCAAACTACGTTTAGTGCCAACATTATGATGCAAGGTCATGAGAGTTTCAGCATATAAATTATCCAAATTCAATTTATATAAACCATCATAAAGTGTACCAATTCCAATCATACATGTATGCTTAAATAAACTGAAACAACTATTCCCAAACTTAAAAGAGTATCCAGCAACATCAAGCTTAGACAAAGAAACTAAATTTCTAGTGATACTAGGTACATAAAAAGTATCCATAAGGTCTAAGTGATATCCAGTGTAAAGGATTAAACGATAAGTCCCGACAACTTCCACTGGAACCTTGACTTTATTCCCCATGAAGACGAACTTCTCATTTGGGTTTATGGTTCGGGTTGAAAGGAATCCCTGCATCACATTAGAAACATGAGTTGTACATCCAGAATCAATACACCAAGTATTATGGGGAACCTCAGTTAAATTTGATTCAAAACATACGTAAGCACTATGCTCACCTTTCTTTTCGAACCAAGCTTTACGCTTTAAACAGTCCTTCTGAAAATGTCCAGACTTCCTGCAGAAATGACATTTGTCATTTTTCTTCTGAATGTTAGTAGAGGACTCGTTAATCTTTAATGGTCCTTTACCCTTTCCATGTTTCTTAACAACTTTCTTTTTAGCTCCTTGATTTTTCACGTAATGAATAGAGTGGCTTCCTAGGTTCTTGAGTCTGGTCTCCTCCTGAACTAACATACTGTGCAATTCATGAACATTCCATTTGTCTTTCATGGTGTTATAATTCATCCGAAACGGACCATACTCGGGTGGTAACGAGTTCAAAATGAAGCTGCACAAGAAAATTTTCTTCCACTTGCCATTCCAAGAGACTTGAGTCTTGCTGCGATATTTGTCATTTCGATTACGTGTTCATGCATACTACAAGAACCATCAAACTTCATGGTGGTCAACGTACTCATCAATGTCCTAGCGAGGGATTTGTCAACAGTTTGAGAGCGCTCTTCCACAAATTTCATAAACTCTTTCGCATCCTCAGTTTTGGGAAGAGCAGACTTAATATTGCTTGCTACACTCATTCGCATAAACATAAGGCTAAGTCTATTTGATCTTTCCCAAGCTCTATAATGAGTTTTCTCTTCATTACTACCGGCATCGGTGATAGCAGCTGGTTTTTTCAACTTGGAAAGCCAAATCAAGATCCAACACACCTAAGTGAAATTGGACTTGTTCACTCCGAGTCAGGGAAATTTAACCCATTAAAGACTCGGAACAGGACGAAGATAGCGAATGCAGAGCTACGAGAATGCAGATCTCGCAATTAACACATGTCTAACATTAATACTTTGAGTCATAAAATTAAACATATATACAGATTCAACCATAAATTACCATTCTCTCGCATACTAATGTTCTCCTTTGGGAGATCCACCAATACACAAACATAATTACGCTAATCATTTTATAACATTAATGATAATTAAAATATGCATCAACTAGAATCACCTAACACCTTTTGGGTATATAAATAAAACTAGTGATGCACAGAAAATTATCTACCTTCATGCTCATTAATTATAATAACAATTAATCAACCTTTGGGTGATCCTGAAATGTTTTATAATAATGAACTTCAATTAACCCATAAATCAAATATTCATAATTTTAGCGTTCATACTATGGGTAATTGAAATAAAATCATTAATAATTTGAAATCAAAATAACCTTAAAATTTTGGCCACTTTGGTGACTAACAAAATTTATCATGCTTAATTTCAAATAAATAATATCTTTAATTGCTATTAACCATTCATAGCATTTTTTTTATTAATTTTAATAAATATGTACATTATTCACATAATAAAATATTATGTGCCATAAATAAAATTGAAACTCATAATTTCAATTTTCATCCTAAGATTGATTTTGAATCCAAGACCTTTATTTGCATTTCACGTAAAAGTGAAATTGTCATTCATTCAAAACTTCAAAACTTTTATGAGTAATTTAAACACAGCGGAAACAATACAATTCAGTTTGCAAAACAAAATTCATTCATTTATCAATGTTTACATTATAGGTACATTAACAAAGTTTCACAGTACATTAACAAAGTTTTACAGTACCCTTGACAAAGCTTTCAGTACCCTTGACAATGTTTTACAGTACTCTTAACAAAACTTTACAGTATGAGTATATTATACAACTCACCTTAACATAAAAAATAACTCTTTAATTATCCTTGACCACATAAAAAAAATATACGTACAAAATAATGTACAAATAATATGAGGACAAAATAATATAGGGACAAAATGGTTTCAGTAGTCACCGAGTCACCAATATGTACATACAAAATAATATTATAAATAATATAATATAATATATGAAACCTGTGTGTTTAACACGTGCTCTCTACGCGCAAAGTTTATCAACTTTACGGTTTATCATTCTTCTATCATAATTATAACATACAATAAAACTAATTTCATACATTATTCACCCTAACCCTATCACGTCATTTATCTTTTCAATTAAAATCAATTACGGGTTCATTCACGCATAGGGGCTATAAAATTGGTTTCAATTTGAACTTGAAAACATAATTAGGGTTTATTCCTTTATTTAATTTTGAGAAAAATAAATTTGGGAATAAATTAGGGTTCATACTAATCTGATAAAGAAATCCCTAAATTCATAATTAGGGTTTATCTTAATTTGGGAAAAACTTAATATTTGGGAAAACTTTCATACAAGGAAAATCATAAATCTAATATTCAGTGCTCTGATACCACATGTAAGATATTATGTAGTTTTCCTACGTTCTTAATTCATTATAGAAAATTACTCTACAGGATCTTTAGATTATTGATTTTCACAATTTTACATACATCAATACATGAATCATAGTAAGAAGACTAACCTTGATCCATGAGAATCTTTTCTTTGATCTTTTCATTCTCCTATCTCCTTTTCCCAATCTATCTCTTTACCTTTCTTTCTCTTCTCACACTTCGCTTTCTTGATGGTTTACCGTGAAAAAACCTTATGGCGAGAGACGTAACCCTAATCCCTTTTATTAACCAACGTCCATCAAGTTGGTTACCAGTAAGTTAATATTTTATTTTATCTTTATTTTATTCTGACTTCACATAATAACCAATAGGTCCTCATATTTTATTAAATCACATTTTGGCCCATTATTATATTTCACATGAGTCACATAATGGAATGAATTAATTAAATTAATTCTAACACAAAAAATATAAAAGTTTTATAAAATAAATAATTTATTATATTTTGCATGAAGTTCATTTCTTAAATGAGCAAACAAAAAAAAATATAAAATAAATAGTTTATTAAATTTGAATAAAAAATCATGAAGGCAGAATGATAAGAATAATTTTTGCTTAAGGATGAAATAAAGGTATGTTGGATTTGATTTAACTTTGCAAAGAATTATTTCAGAACCCAATAACAAGTTTGACATTATTCTTTCTCTATAAAAACAAAAATTGAAGCTTTACTCTAACATTTTTATTAAATAAAATTTTTCCTTCCATTATTTTTTAACTTTACTCTATCGTTTACGATAACATGTTCCATATTAATTTAGTCTTAATTTAATCTTAATATTTTTAAAGATAAGTTATAATGGCGTTTTTTCTATGTAAACCAATGAATTATCTAACAAATGTATCATGGTATTGAGATTGCATCGTATATGATATGAGTACTATGTTGCATTTTTCATCGGATAACTTAACAATATTAACATCATGAACAATATTAATGTCGCAAGGAGTATTTTCTCTATCTATACTTACTTAACAAATTATGCCTAATGAAATCGACCATTCCATTTATCCATCTTTAATTGCTGATTAAGTCTTATGAGATTGAGTTTTTCACCAATTCATCCAATTGAGACAGGACTTTATTTCGTTCGATATTTCTTAGCCCTTCAACCTTGAGATTGCAGGCTATGTATTGACCAGTTTCTTGACCTCTAAGGATTAGTGTGCTGTCAACTTTTAGGAAGATATTAAGTTTCTCTTCAATTATAGTCTCTTTGTCTTAGACTATGGGTTGTGTACGGTCCAATCTTCCGATCTTATAAGAGTCCGAGATGTGTAACTAGGATTGTAATCTATGTAAAAATCTAATAACTAACTAATGTGATATAGAGTGAATGTGAATAATAATTTAGAATATGCATGTTTATACGTTATGCACTCCGTTCAAAGCTTTGTCCGTTGACCTCTTTGATTTGTAAATAGGTCAAAGGTGGAAACAACATGCTCCTCCAATATCGGACAACAGCAAGATAGTTTAGATATCGGAGTCGTATGATCTTCAAAAAGGGGGACTTATTAACATATTCTTCAAGATCCATGTTAGTTAAATATCCTCCTGTTATTCACAACTCATTCAATACCAAAGGTAATTTCCCAGGCTTCAACCATTCTGGAATACTATTTTCAGGAATGCGTTTAACATGCAACTTTTTTAGATTTGGAGGTAAAATTATCTCAATATCACAGTAACTTGTTTCAGTGGTACCCCATGATATTTTTAGATACTCAAGAGCTGACATTTCTTTCAAACCTTCAAACTCTCTTTCTTTCACCACTGCCTTACTTGCAATATGTATGCTAAGTTGTTTTAGTTTCTCCAAATTTCTGAGATCTGATATTGTGCATGCAGTCTTGGTATGACTACCTATTACAAATCCTTTTAGTTCTTGAAGCTCAGTTAGCTTCTCGATCCCCCTCGGCATTTTGTCCAACAAGTAACAGTCAGACAAATTCAAATGTCTGAGGTTTCTCAATGATGAAATATCATTAGGTAGTGTTTCCAGATTGTGGCAGGCCTTGAGATCTAGTGTTTCTAGTCTCTCAAGTTGAAGAATATTTAGCAGGTTGGATATTCCTGACATCCCACGTAAACTAAGATACTTCAAATTCTTTTGGCTTTTCAACTCTTTCAGGAACCCTTCATTCCTCACCTCAATATGATGCTTTTGTGAACCATGCAGCCAACGGCCTAGTTGAAGCACCTCCAAGTGCTTCATATTAGCCATCCATTGGGGTTCAAAAGTAAGATAACTTGCACCGACATTAAAAATTGCTTTCCTATGGTTTGATTTAAAAGCAAACACATCATCACTTAGTTTAACCTTTTTTGGGTCAAGCACTAAAAATTCATACTGACTGTTAGTAAAGAAAAATTGATACCAGGATCGATAAACAAGAAAGAGGAATATCGAAGATCATATGGTTGTTGAAAAATTGATAAGAGACAGGCAGAAGACACCTGGTAACCACAAGATAAAAACACATATAAATCGAGAATCAGAATCGAGAATCGAAGGAAGAATATTCGATGTTTATTGTTGAAGAAAATCGAGAAATTAGAATCTAGTGTAATGTTAAGATTAAAGGGAATCAAAAACAATTCAAAGTACTCGATGTCTGAAATCGAGATCGAGGGAACGGTTAACGCGCACATAGAACATGGGAAGCGGTTTCTAAACCGCGGCAGAGATCGAAGATCAAGGGAGCGATTATCTCATGCATGGGAACGTGAAATGCAGTTTTCTAAACCGTAGAACTAAGGGACGTGCATGTTGGATCGTGGTAGCAGTTTTGTTAACTGCTCTTAGGAGGTTACTTGAAAGGTGCTCTATAAATAGAGCGAAGACTTGAGGAAGAGGGGGGGGGGGAATTGGCAGAGACAACAGAAGCGCAAGTGAACAGTCTACAGGAGAACGACGCATCATGAAGTTTTTAATGCTCTGGATTTCCATTTTCATAGATTGTCTTTATCGCTTTCTTTACTTTCCGTGGTAATTTACTTTCATGCAATTTACGTTTATCAACTTTAAGTTTCTGTTCTTTCAATTCCTTGTCATTTACTTTTATGCAAGTTAAGGTTATGCATTTAATTTCCTGCTATTTACATTTTTTGCAATTTCGATTTCCTACTATTTACATTTCTGCAATTTCGATTCCTTGCCATTTACACTTAATGCAAATTTGAGGTTTCCGCATTTTACATTTCTCTGCAATTTAATATTCTGCACTATCTTTCGATTCGACACTTTTTACTGCTTTCTTTACTTTGTGTTTCTTAATGAAAAATACCAGAAATAGTACTTTCGATTATCAATCTGTATGATATTTTGCATTTCTCGACACTATGGAATTTTCGATTCTCATACATGTTTTGATTGAAAACTATTTGCTAGCCTAAGTAAAAAGAATCTACGTGGTTGAAATTTGGTCAGAACCTAAGTCTCTGAGAAATCGAAATCGATCAAATTTTCACCAGAAACAAATTGGCGCGAAGGGGAAAATATTGTTTTATACACAAAGTCTGGCTAGTTCGATGAGTGTATGAGACTAAGGAGTGGACGAATAGTAAGAATGAGTCAAAATCCACCAAATAGTCAGGGTAACAGTGAGATTCCTAATAGTCTGAATCCACCAAACACTGGGGGGCAAGTTCACAATGGAATTATGTATGTAATATCAACAACTGTGAGTGCGTCGATTCTAGTAAGTTTTGAACAAAATCAAGGGACATTAGCAAATGCTCAAATAATAGGGTCTGGAACTGTAATGTCAAATACTATACAAACCATGGGAAGTCCCGTAACAACATATACAGGTCTGCATATGAGTGTAAGGCCGCCTGGTTTTTCGATTAATAATATGAATGGGGCTGGTACTTCTTCAATACAACGAAGTACGAGATTTAACCTAGGAATGCCCCAAAACTTAGGAACAGGTCAAACCTTAGGTATGCCTCAAAATTTTGGAGTGTCTCAAAATTTAGTAACACCTCAAAACCCAGGAAATGCACAAAGTTTAGGAACACAACAGATGTCTCCGATTCCAAACCAGGATAATAGAACAAATCTAGACCATGGGAGGTATGTGTTCGATAGAGATTATCATCGATCCAATTTCGATACTATTGGAAATGCTAGTACTGGAATTTCCAGTAATTCATTAGGAGTACTTCGACAACAAATGGATGAAAGCAATTTTGAGATGGTTAACATGTTGTTACAACAGTTGACCACAGTATTAAATCCATTAATTCAAAACACTACTAATAGTTTTGAGATGTTAGCAGATCAAATGTCACGTATCGGGGATGCATTGGCAATACCTCAACAAATGAGGATATAAAATAATGCCAAACGGGATAATCAAAACTTCAACATCAATCCCCTTTATTTATTAAGGAGAAATCGAAAGAATGATCAACATCAGCATGTGGGGAATGAATATCAGCATGTGAGGAATGATACTTATGGAAATTTAAATGAGGGATTTCAAAATATGTATACTCAAAATAATATGCAGTATAATCACATGCTGGGATAGAGGATGAATCCTCAAGGAGTGGAATTAAGACCACCTAATCAACCATATTTTGTTTCTCCTTTTCCAAATACGATTCTCGAGACAGAATTACCTCGAGGATACAAAATACCCAAATTCACCAAATTTGCTGGAGAAATCGGTGAATCCACTATCGAACATGTGGCGCGATATCAAATCGAATGTGGGGACCTGGCGATGAGTGAAGAATTAAAAATGAAATACTTTCCTAGTTCGTTAACAAAGAATGATTTCACATGGTTTACTTTGTTGCCACCTAATTCGATATATAATTGGTTGCAGCTGGAAAGAAACTTTCATGAGTCATTCTTCAGGGGGGAGACACAAGTAAGTCTTATCGACTTAATGAATATAAAGAGATATAATCATGAAAGCGTAGATGATTATTTGAATAGATTCAGACAAATGAAGTTGAGATGTTTTACTCAAATTCCCGAATTTGAATTAGTCAGAATGGCCTCTGCAGGCTTAGAATTTTCGATTAGGAAAAAGTTAGTTAATTTACCGTTGAATGACATGGCTCGACTAGGCGATAGAGTGAGAAGAGTAGAACAAATCGAATATGAGAAACAAAGGTACAAGAAATTTGAGAAACCTATGAAAAAAGAAAGGGTAGCATATATAAATGACATATATGAAGAAAATCCCAGGATAGAAGTAGATATTAAAGAATCTGTCGATGAGAAAGTAAATATAGCAGAGCTTAAAGTAGGAGCCCCGTATGTCTGTAAATTGTTACAAAAAAATGAAGTAAAAGACAAAATGACAAATCGCACATATACTTTTGATGTAACAAAGGCGGATAAAATCTTCGAAATTTTATTAAGAGATAAACAGATTAAGTTGAGTGATGATCACAAATTATCTTCTGCAGAACAAAGAAATGGTCGAAAATATTGCAAATTTCATAATATCTATGGACATTGGACTAATAATTATATACATTTCAGGAACACGATCCAAGATGCGATCGACCAAGGAAGATTGAAGTTTGAGGAAATGTCAATGAAAGTGGATACGAGTCCATTTGAAGTTCAAGTAGGGTACATCGAATCCCAAATGGGCATAACTGAGGATGTCCGATTGGTAAATTCGACCTTCATAGGTATGATCGATGTTACTGAAGATATCGATCCCAGACATGTCAGAATGGACACATCAGAAGAAGACATAGAGTTCGACCTAAGCGAGTTCGAGAAAGAATTCGAGAGAGAGATTTATCCTCGATCAGAAGATTCCCTCGTTGAATTTTTAAACAGAAAGAAAGAGAAGAACGAAGGTGTGACATTATGTCCACGATGCAGTGCGGTGTTCGACAAGTCAGCTGCTAAAGCCTTCAGGGCAAGACAGAGCAAGAAAGTAAAGGATCAACATAAAAATTGCAATGATAAAGTAGATCAAACAGTCCAAACCATGGTTGGGGAGAGTCAACAGAAATCTGTTGGTTCTGGATCCAGTAGAAACCAGAAACAATGGGTTAGGAAGGAAATGTATTCTCCCCGAGAAGGAAGGAGTAGACTTCAGAATAATGATGTTTTCGACATACTTTCATATGATGAAGGATCAAATAGTGGATTCCCTACATTCCAAAGGAGATTTCGAGGAAGGCCTTGGAGGAGAGGAGGAAGGATCCCTTACTGGGGAAGGATCAATAATTATAGGAACTTTGAATAAAATAATATACCGATGGGTGGTCAATATATAAGAGACTTTATCGATGACAAAAACGAAGGTAGTTGGAATGAACATCAAATTGGAGTAATATCTATATTACCCACGGAATACGTTAGCGAGTATGAAGAGTATCAAGGGCAAAATAACGTCAATCGAGAGGACGGTTTCTATTCTGAAGACATGAGACCGAAAGTGACATGGGTAACACAAGCATCATGCGAAGTACCCCATAGAGACGCTGCTTTTATCGATCCCCCATCCGAGGAGATGAGGTTTCATTTGAAACCCTTATTACTGAACATTGAAATTCAGGGACAGAAGGTGAATAAGGTCTTGATTGATGGCGGTGCAGCAGTAAACATATTGTCAATCACTATGTTGAAGAGGTTTGGTATCGAATTGAAAGACTTAGTTAGGCATAATATAATGATTTCTTATTTCAGTGGGAAATCATCGAGCTCAGAAGGCATGATTGTTAGAAAAGTAGTTTTAGATCAAGAGGGGGGGTGAATTCTTTGAAAGATTTTCGCAATTAACAGATTATCTATTTGTAAAAATAAGATTTCAGATCTGTTCTTGAATCACAAAGCAATCAATCAATAATAAACGCAATAACAGAATTAAAAGAGGAGAAAGGTTTAGAAAGATATCACCGGTGTTTATACTGGTTCACCCAATACCCGGGCTACGTCCAGTCTCCAGCCAAATTCCAGCTGGGTTCCACTAGATCAAATGTTTTACAGATTACAATCTTACACTTAATCTATCACAAGAACCAAATTCCAGTTCCTGCACCTAATCTTTCACCAAGAACCAAATTCCAGTTCTTGACAACCTCTACAACCAAATTCCAGCTGCAGAGAAACCAGTGCCCAAATTCCAAGCACCAACCAATACAAAAAGAATGTAAAGAAATGAAAAGAAGAAACTAGAATGCTCAAACCAGTTTATGCAATTTTGCAGTAAGTGTTTCTTCTTCAAAAGAAAAGCAATT